GCTAGCGCCGCAGGCCTAAAGAAGGAGGTAACCGCTCAAACTTGCGCCGCAGACTTTCTCTCGAAACAAACCGCTGAAGCTGGCGCCGCAGGCCAAAAAAGGAAGCTAATCCCTCAAGCTTGGGCCGCAGGACGAGGCCAGCCGGTCAAACGCGCCGCAGGCCTAATAACGAGACTAGCAGTTCAAGCTTGCGCTGCATGTCAATGCAAAGAGGGTTGCATTGGAGATGCGTTTTTCTTCCTTCAGTGTAGGTTTATGTGGAAGGGCGCTCGATTCATAGGGCCTAGACGGATCCAGCGGGGGAGAGTCGCGAAGCGGCTCCTCCCCCGCTGGTCGATGGTATAAATGTGAAAATGATAAGATGTAAAGATTTATTTGTCTCTTGATTGCACCGTAGCACACAACAGCATTGTTCGGGCGGCCGGAGTTTTGAGCCTCGCTGAAGAATGCCCACCAGTGATATTTGACGCATCAACGGTCGCCAGCTTCCCTGCGAGACCCGGATTTTGTCTTGTTGCGGCGATTCGAACCTTCGCCTTTCCGGTATATCCGCATCATAGCTTGCACGATCGCCTTCCGATACGTCTTGCATAAAAGTATGGCAGACAAACAGTTGATGATGGAGTGGAGGGTAACCAATAATGGAGCCAACGTTGCTACTAAATAGTGGTCGGAAGGGTATTCCTTTCTCGAATATTGCGCTTACTAGGAGGCGCTTTTCATCGACCATCGCCTTTCCCGCGAGACTAAGCCTAGCTTATGCACAATTTTCCGGAAATTCCGATCCTGTTTTCAAAATTCCAACGTTCAAACAAATAGTTATTTAGCTTTTCAGGTTCTTTCAAGGCAAAAATTTGCCGAAATTGGGCAATTTTCAGCTCTTTTTGTACTTAAAATCTTCACAGCGTTTTGAATAGCATTGTTTCACGGAGTTGAAGGTTGGTTCGTAACGAGCGCGAAATTCTTCACAAAATATGCTTGGTCCCGTACGAAAAAGTCTCCCTGTTGGATCTCCTGCCGCAAAATGGATAAATTGCACATCAATAACGTTGCTAGAACTCACTGCCAATAAACGGCTCGACCAGGAGGAGCTTAAACACGTTCAGCGAAAAAAACGTGATCGGTAGACCAGCGAAAGTGAGGCCGCTCAGGATCTGCAGAAATCATTTTGAGAGTGCCGGTCACCAAACCTGTATCAAGAACGTCCTGGCAAACTGAAAATGCATCTCTCGCGTTCGTTGACTGACATTTTCCACGGCCACACCGTGATGCCGGACGGTGATAAATATAAATGCGCTGCCATAAAAAATTATCACGACCACCACAACTGCCACCAAGACGTACATCATTGTTGCAAGCGTTTCGGCGCGCGAGATTACACAGGTTAGGTGACCCTGGGAAAAGTTATCACGCATTTGAAATCCCAACGTTTCTCGTAGAAAATATATATGCATTTGCACGATAACCACTCCAATAGAAAAAATGGCCCGCTATGGTGAGGAATACGAAAATAAGCTGCAACAGTCTTCGCACGGTTTTGCCCGATTTGAAGCCCTGGTAGGTCATTTCGCTTTTGTAGATCCCGAGAGCGGCCATACAACCAGCCGCGTAGTAAACACCGGTGACATAAAAGGTCTATAGACGTTAAAGGGGCTCCGAACTGCCAAATCAAAGCCCTTTTGGGAGGCCTCTTTGATTTCTGGCAAATTGCCAGCGGGCGCTGCGGGACGAGAGCCCTCACTCTTTCGATTTTTGCGCGAAGTTGTCTTTGCCTTGTTTTTTGTGAAAACACTATAATTCGCACATTGTGTGCCCATTTTTGAAATCCCCACTCAATTTTAAATAGTTTTGGTGTTTTAATCGTCAAATTTGGCACAGAAACAGCCGAGGACGTGATTTGGAGGTGACAACAGGCAATTTCCAATTTGCGAGCTGCCCGGGCCCCATGGCCGTATAGAGGCCTCCGACGTACAGGGCTCCGAATTTCGGGCCGTCACTCATTTTTTGGCATTTCGTAGCCCCTTTAAGGTTGACTACCAACGTTAATCGATCATAAACACTTACCGTCAAAAGCATACCCCATAGCGGAGTGAAAGGTATCTGGCTTAACAAAATATACCCCACGTTCCCGGGTGTAAGCATAAGTTTCCCGACCAGGTTAATGGTTTCGACAAGTTGAAAGGATACCTATGAACACCTTTTGTTCAAAGTGGTAATAAGTAAGCAGTTACCATCATATTTAACTGCAAATTCCGATATACCAGTGAAGTGGCGGATTTGTAATTCAAGAAAAGGTAGACCGCAAGCCCCGTTAGCGCGCTGTCGATAAGCCACAAAATCGTCGACAGGACCTCATACAAAAATATAAAGGCATCGTCTTCGTATAGCATCTGGTAAAATGCTTGTTTTTCGGGAAAATGGATTGTCGAGCCGCGCGGACGCTGTCGCATATTTTCAGAGCCCGCAAACAGCTGCAATTTTGGGAGATCAGTGCGCTACGGGGGCAGGCGCCAGAGCTCTTTACCAGAAAAGAATGTTATACTTGGCGGGTGAAACCTGATCAGAAAATTTCAGCATTTATTTAAAAGGCGGCGATAAGGTGAGATTATTTTTTGCGGAGGATTTTTGAAGTCTGGGCGTCGAGATTACGGCAGTGACGTTGGAAGCATCAGGCGCCGCAATTTTGCCTGAAAAATCATTAATTCAAAAATGTAAATGCTTACGTTTTGACTTCTAAGCAGCCATGAAAGCCAGTCAGACAATGCTTTCCGATAGGCCTTGCAGAGAAAGATGACGAAAAGACAGTTGAAAATGGAGTGGATGGCCATGAATAGCGGCGCCTGGGAGCCAACTAAAAGTTATGTTATTGGATTTCTTTTTTTTCACATGATGCAATGGAATGGAATGGAATAGCACCTGCCTGTTTCTCACAGCTGAAATTTTTTAAAACTTGTTTGTTTTCGATGAAACGGCTCTTTGATTTCGGTGATCGCTGATCGCTGATCATATTTGTTTTTGTAAAAGGCTTTTGCTAATTTGCGTAGGAAAGAATTATAACCAAACAATTTATTGTTGTGGTCTGAAGCCGGCTGAGGCAGAGGCTATTCTGACCCTTGATACAATTTGTTGAAGCCTTGGGGTGGAAACAACGGCAGTAATATTTGATATATCCATGGCTGCGCTATTGCCCGCTAAAGAGTCTTTTTTTTCAATGAATCCAAACCATACCGTCAACACGGAAAAATCGCAGCACCATCCGAGTAATTACCCTTCGGTACGTCTTGCATAAGAATATGGCGAACGAGCAGTTGAAAATCGAGTGAAACGCGATAAAGAACGGCACCATTGACCCCACTAGCATGAATCAAGATATATCGAGGTTTGAGGTAAATTTACTGGTAGTAACCGGTTGAAAAAGCAACCACTTCCGCATATTCAGCATATAAAAACTGGCCGGCAGAAAGACTAAACCCACGGCGCTAACTAACTAAAAACGCTTTTCCATAGGCCCAATTTTCCATTACCTGAAAAAAGAAGGTTCGCGCGAATTGAAAATGCATCTCTCTCGTTCGCCGGCTATAATTTTCGGCGTAAACCGTATTATGTCGGAAAGTTATGAACATAAACGATCCCCCATATAATGCTGCCAAGATGGCGACCGTAAACACCGCGATATAGTAGAGCTGTGTGAGGGTTTTGGTGCCAGATATGACGCCGCGTCGGCGACCCTAGGCCCGGGTTAGACGCAAGTTCTCGGGACCTACATTCAAGGTATCAAATGTATACATCTCGTCGTAATAACCGCTCCAATATACGTAGTAGCCAACGATAATCAGCAGCATAAATAAAAGGTGCACCAGCCATCGTATCGTCTTGCCCACTTTGAAGTCCTGGTGTGTTATCTCAATTTTGTGGATGCCGAGGGCGGCCATGCAACCGCAAGCGTAGAATAGGCCGGTGAGGTAAAGTACCTAAAGGTTTATTCGTCATTGTATTGAAGATAGACGAGATTTTCCAAGAAAGCTTACAGTCACGACCATGGCCCAAAGTGGGGTATAGCTTAATGGATTCAACAAAATATATCCGATATCCCCTTGCAACAGAATCGGCTTGCCAAGAAGATTCATCGTGGCGACAAGCTGAAAGCCGAGCTGAAACACTACGATTAAATTTTGAAACCACGGCCAAACTATTATGTTCAGCTGCAAATTCCGATACATCGGCGCGCTGGCTTTCTTATACGCCAATAGAAAGTATGAAGCTATCCCAGCCAGTGTCGTCTCGATTACCCAGAGAATATTCGAAAGTATGAGAAACCAGCTAGTGGCCGTCTCGTCTTCATAGAACATCTAGAAAAGTGTTCGTCAATATTCCGGACGATTCGGCCTGCCGAGCCAAGACACTTTGCACCTGTTTTTCGAGACGCCTGGATTTCGTCTGGGGTTTCATAATGGCCAAGTTTACTGAAGTCGTCGATCTCTAATGGAAATTATGCACTTCTAAATTTACCCCTCCGAACTCTCTGTTCGAAAATCTACAAAAAAAATGTGTATGTGTGTCTATATGCATTTGTCTGCCACTTCCGTAAGTACGTCCCGACTTAGACTTAGGGAGGGCCTTTTAAGTATCTTTGATATGACATTACGTGCATATTCGGCCAGAGATTGGTGCAAACCACAGGAAATCCGGCTGTTTTCGTTATTAAAATTCAACCAGGGGTGAAAAGCCGCGTAGCCCTGGCCTTTGCGCGGGTATCTTTAGAAGCTGTTCACTTTGCATAATACTAGCGAATTAGCGCCAACCTCAACTCTAATAATAACAAAGCCAACTCGGCTGTCGGCTGCGAGAGTGACAAAATCCGAATGCACCTCATAGCGCCTCGTATGCAAATGAAGATATTTCCATATGTTTTAGAAACACGAAAATCAGGTATAAATCGTATGATAAGCGCGCAGTCATCTACGCCATCGAATACCTCTAAATCCGTTTCAACTGGCCCCTAAAATTCTTTCCCCGTCCGGATACCTCAATAACCCGGTTTTTTCGTGCTTTTTATCCCAGGTGTCTACACACACAAACATTATTTTTTATATATAGTAGGATTTTTGTAAAATCACCGGCAGAGTCTGTTAAGAGGCTTGGCCGGAAGTGGCGGTAGCCTAAATAAGGGCGCAGTCTCTCCAGTTTAGCGATACGCACGGTTTCACGTTTTCGTTAATTGGTATGGATTTATGCCCGCTTTAGCTTTGTATCATGACTGTGGGAAACGAGGCCACCCTCTGCTTTCTGGCAACTTCCGGCTGCTTGACTGACGTGACAGGATTCACGTTTGGACCATCCGTAGTTATCGTTTTTCCTTAAAAACTGGTTTGCTACTTATTCTTGTCAATCCTTGCCCGCAAGCCAACAGTAGCTTTGCCCTAACGTTGAGTCCCCGGACCGTGGAAACAATTGCCTGCAGCCTGGGTGACGATAAATCGAGATAATTAATGGCTTGAGTTTGGTGTTGAGGTCAAAACAGGCAGTATATGGTGAGAAGGTATAGTCGAAACCATCTAGACCGCAGGCCTCCGGGAGCTCGTCACGACAGCTTTTAGCCTTGGCGTGGTAACGACGGTAATATTAGAAGTCTCGACCATGGTGACTTTTCCTAAAAAAACTCAATTTTTATTAGATGCGAAAGGGGGCTTGTCTGTCAGCTCGGGTCGCGGGGGAAAACCAAATTTTTCCCTGTGATTCATCACGCCCCAATAAATTTCTGGCCAAAAATGTCTGAAAAACGACCAAAAGAATTCAACATTTCCAAAACATTTTTGGTAACTTTCTAGCAATCAAAAATTACTAAAAACACGATAAAAATAGATAATATCACTGCAACCGGTAGGTATAGGGTGCAAAACGGGAAGCGGTTGCTCCCCCTGCTAACCCCCCGGTAATAGTTCAGAACCAATTTGGAACCGTACCTTCCCATCTCCGTAGCAACCTTCGCACGCCGCGCCCCAGCGCCCTTCGATACGCTGCGCTTAAAAATATTGCAAACGCGCTGTTCAAGATCGAATGGAGAGCGATGAAAAATGGAGCCAGGGATGATACTAAAATACCTTTTAAAAATGAAAATGTGCCCTCTCCAAGCGGTTTTCTCTAGATGACCTAGAAGTAATTTTTTCGAGGTTCAAAAAGGAGACCAGAGCGACGCCAAAGAAAAATACGCCAATACGAATTCGTAACACCGAATTCGTAAAATGTAAAGCTGACCATTTACAAAAAACTTTTCGTTTTATAATTCATGTCAAGATGTCATTTTGCAAATTTTAAAAGGCCGTCCGCGAGTCACCCGAACAGACCCTAATATGGCTTGGCACAGTTTTTTTTGGGCCCCGTTTTTTTGACGGCATCTGAAAGAGCATGGTCAAATTAGTAGGGCTGCACAGTTTTGAAAGTTTAAAAAGTTAATTTTTGGGGTTAAAATTGGAGTCAAAGTGGGCGACCCTCAAAAATTATCTCCAAAACTACTGCACCAAATTGGCTAAAAATTGGTGACAATACCTAATTTGGGATGGGGATCATTTCTCTAATACATCGTAAAGCACGAAAATGAGCGGAACACCGGAATCTCGCGTACCCAAAACAGTAATTTTGGATTTTCTATTTTACGGGTTTCCGAGGGTAACTTCTTTTTACTATAGAAAGATGCACCAGAAAATTCTGCGTTGAATGATGTATTTTTCATTTTACCCTCCGGTTGCCTAGTTCCGCTATAAAGCATTTACTGCGCGCAAAACAGCCTCCAGACTAGGCCAAAAACCTCAAAACTGGCAGATTTTGAAATTGAAAATATCAAATCGTATCTAGAGAACGAGCTGAATCCATTGCAAAAAAGAGCAAAAAGAAATAACGTTTTTGAAGGGGGGCTGGGATTGAACTCGCGCGACCCCTGGATTGGTAGGCGAGCACTCATGCAATCCACCACGGCCCCAGAGAGGGCTTCCCGGCGAAGGGTCCGAGTTCGATTCCTTCCGGATCTCAGCCCATATTTAGAGGCTGAATTTCTTTTTGCTCTTTTTTGCAATGGATTCAGCTCGTTCTCTAGATACGATTTGATATTTTCAATTTCAAAATCTGCCAGTTTTGAGGTTTTTGGCCTAGTCTGGAGGCTGTTTTGCGCGCAGTAAATGCTTTATAGCGGAACTAGGGAACCGGAGGGTAAAATGAAAAATACATCATTCAACGCAGAATTTTCTGGTGCATCTTTCTATAGTAAAAAAGAAGTTACCCTCGGAAACCCGTAAAATAGAAAATCCAAAATTACTGTTTTGGGTACGCGAGATTCCGGTGTTCCGCTCATTTTCGTGCTTTACGATGTATTAGAGAAATGATCCCCATCCCAAATTAGGTATTGTCACCAATTTTTAGCCAATTTGGTGCAGTAGTTTTGGAGATAATTTTTGAGGGTCGCCCACTTTGACTCCAATTTTAACCCCAAAAATTAACTTTTTAAACTTTCAAAACTGTGCAGCCCTACTAATTTGACCATGCTCTTTCAGATGCCGTCAAAAAAACGGGGCCGAAAAAAACTGTGCCAAGCATTGTTCGGGTCTCTCGCAAACGGCCTTTTAAAAGCTTATAGTATGCAAAAAGTGTCGCCGGTTCCGATGGTGTAATCAGTTTGGCGATCCGATGCGTGGTTCTTTTTCAAATTCGGAAAAGGACCTCAAAAGAGTCATATGGGGGGGGGGGGGATTTCAAACCAAAAGGGGTTAGCGGGCGTAGCCCGCTAACCCCGATTGAAGTGGTAAGGGATTATTTTACCCCCCCCCCCTTCCCCCACAGCCGAAGCGCCTCAAAGTATCCGGTATTTTTGGTTATATTGTCGGGATTTTTGCAACGTAATTCGATAGAGCGTCGAAAAATATACAAAAAGTTTTAATTTGAGCCGACAATAGTGTAAAATAGAAAATTATAGCCAAAACATTCCGGCTGGGGGGGGGGGGGTAAAGTAAACCCTAGCCATTTAACTTACTAGTGATGAACGGCTGCAAAATGAGCCATTGAAAGGTGTTCAGCAAATAAATTGTTACTGGGACGCCGGCGAGAATGGCGGCACTCATCAGCTGAATAAGGCTATAAAATACACCCAAATTGTTCATTACCTGTAAAAAGAACGTCCTGGCAAAGTGAAAGTGCATCTCGCGCGTTCTTCTGCTGACCCTCTCGATAGCCACAGTGTTGTGCCGGAATGTTATAAAGGCAAAGGAGCCGCCGTAGAAGATGATCACGACAACCAAAACCACCACGAGGATGTAGATGAGTTTTTCAAGGGTCTCGGCACCAGAAACGATGCAAATTAGATAACCCTAAGCTGTTGATTGTCCAATTCTGGTTATCTCCTACGTTTAATATATCGTAAGAAAACATATCCAAAGCGTAGCCTCTCCAAAATACAAAATTTCCGGTCGATAAGAAGACAAGGAATATAGCTTGTAGTATCCGTCTCATCGTTTTCCCAGATTTCACTCCCTGATAGGTGATTTCGCTCTTATAAATTCCGAGCACAGCCATGCAACCGGAAGCGTAAAATGTGCTTGTAAGATAGACGGTCTTAATACGATTTTTAGTATATTCATTGGGTATTTCCTACCATTAAAAGCATCGCTACCAACGGAGAAATGGTTTGGGCGGGAAGAATGATGATAAACCCGACATTCCCTTGCAACAGAATTGGCTTTACGATTAGATTAATTGTTTCGCCAATTTGGAAGGCGGTCTAAAAGACTGCCGCTAAAATTAAAGCCAGATTCGGTACCAGCATGTGTAGCTGCAAATTTCGATACACCGGCGCTGTCGCCGTTTTGTATCTTCGGAAAAAGTAGATGGCAACGATAAAGAGCGCCGTAGAAATAACCCACAAGATTGTAGAGACGATGGAATACCACAGAATTATCAAATCATTTTCGTAAAACATGTTACAAAAATTGTGCTTGGCCAAAAAAATGGCCAGGCTAGGCGGCGGCACAATGGCCTCTGCAGCTGGAGTCTAACACCTGCACTTGTTTTTATCTGAACCCTATCGAACTACGAGCAGACTTTTCACAGTTTCGAGGTTTTCGGTGCGAGAACTTTTTCAGGTGTGAAAGCTGCAGAAGATACTTATTGTTAGCTCACAATTAGTCGTGGTTTCGTGAAAACTCGTCATTTCGGTCGCAGAAGCGATTTTCGGAAGCTGCAGGGACTTTTCGCCAACAAGTTTCACGTTTAATTTTTCAAAATTGAGCATGGAATAACCAAATTCGACGAATACGGACTTTCATAAGGCACCAGGGTTGAAAAACCGCTTCGCGGCTTTGCAACCCTGGCCGCGTCTTGGAGACGTGATAGTCGTCCCTTTGCATCGTTGCTCCCGAATCCGCATACAAATCCACATACAAAATGCGTTTCGGGCCTCTTATACAATTGTTTTTCCTTTCAGGGATCCCGCCTTTCCTAGCAAATAAGCCTGTATCGTTTAAAAACCGTACCGGCTGACCAAATTTCGAGATCACTAAATGCTTTCTGTTGCGTTTTCCCCCCTTTTTTCAGCATCCCTTTTTCAATTTCCACACCACAACAAAACCGTCACCAGGGAAACGACAAAAAAAGAGAACCTACCCCGCCTGCCCGATTAGCATTTTGATGCACTCTCTTTACAAGGCGTACTCTCTTTTCCCACACCTCGCATAACACAGGGCCCCTCGCCTCCCTGCACATCGGCCCCGTGGCCTAATGGCGAAGGCGTCGGTCTTCTAAACCGAAGATTGCAGGTTCGAGTCCTGCCGGGGTCGGCCTGTCTTTTTGCTTTTTGTCTATTTTGTGGAAAAATCGATTCCAAGAATAATTCCATAGTGGCTCTGTTTTGCTCTTCAGATTTTTACAAAGTATGGATACTAGGGTGTTTTTGGGTGTTCTTAGGGTGTTTCGTATATCCCTTAGCATAGAATGCTGTGTGCTTCGAATAATCCAAGTACCAAAACCACAAAGTATTTATTCACATTTTTTAAGCTACCTTCACCTTCTTCTGCTCCAGCTTCTGGCCGACTTGCTGAAAACGTTTAATTTGGAGCTCTAAGTCCCTGATTTTCACCTGGAAGGCCCAGTTCTTCGACGAGTATTGGTTCTGGCACATCACCGTGCTGATTACGTTCGACGTGGTGGCGCCGGCGGGGAGTTCGCTAAAATCGTTATAACAAAATTAAAAGTATTGCGGACCCCGATTTGTAGGTCGGCGCGTAGTAGCAGATGTACAACTCCTTGGCCAGGCTGCTGATCGTCTGGGAACGGGATGGAGTGACGCCGGCTTCACACTTTGGCGCGGCGGATTCTGGAAAAGTGGAAGGTAAAGAAGAATTTAAAGGTGTATTAGCGGAAGTCCGAATTTTAATGTTTACCATTGCATTCCCCGTAATAATTGAAGGTAGGATGTTGAGAGGCGTCGTCAGGGTTGGCATTCAAATTCATGGCACAGTAGCCCTGGCCAGCGAGCAGGTACTAAAGGTACGTTAGGCTCAGGGAATTGAGCGTTTCTATTACCGCATCGCAAGTATGGGCCAAGAGCTCCTTCAAGCTCTTGAACGTCTGGAAGCCAGAGAGGTCCTCCTTCAGGATGTTTGAGCAGACCTAAAAAAAATCGATACCTGGTGTAGTTTTCTAAAATTGCTCTTTTAACCGCTATAGCAAAGGTCGTACCGGTCGGTTATCATTCGCGAACGTCCGGGAAGTCACGTTACAGCCGGTGCACGAGTAGAACCAAGCCTGCTTGACGTTGCAGACGGCTTCTAAAGATTGCATCGTAATTACTGGATTCTTAAGGTGACTAACGCTAAGTGGATGTAATAGCTTACCAGCACATAGACAAGTCTTGGCGTCATACTTCCCGGGGACGCACTTGAAGTCGCCGTTCGTCGTCGAGACTCGGCATTCGTAGCTTCCGGGCGTGTTGAAGCATTTGACGCAGGCTGGGCCTTCGCAGTTTTGCGCGTCGCAGCAGGGGTTGCTCTTGGCGCACTCGTTGATGTCTAAAGGTATCGTTTTATGGGAGGCCATCATTATGATTTTTCCAAGCCAACCAGCTTACAAGCGTGACGCGGGACGGCACGAGACCCTAAACTCACCCCGAACGATATATTCCGTGTTGCTGTTCTCCGATTCGATGATCTCCCAACCGGCTGGTACGATCAGCTTTCCGTTCATGCATTGGATCTAAAAATCGAGTACGGGCTCAAATGCCAAAATTTTATTTTCTGCTAGCATAGCTCAAATAAGACCTACATCGACGTCAAGTCCGTTCTTGATGCCGGTCATGTTGGTGGCGGTGTCGCACTGGTTTTCTAGAATTTTTGGAACTTGATTTTCAAGATGATTTTACCAGAACAGTACAAGTTTCCTTGCTTGTCGATGCGGCGGTAGAACTTCTTAACCGGATCCTGACGACACTGGCACTGGCCGGGGACGCCGTTCACGCACTTCGGGTCGACATTCTCGCCAAGGCAACGGCAGATGCCTAAAGACAACAGTAAGAGTGTGTGTACCAACAAGCTTTTGCCGCTGCAAGAGATATAAAAAGGCTTGTTAGCAACGAGTTCAGGTCCAGACCCACTTTGTTGACACTCCATCCAGTCACCGTTCTTTTGCGGGTCCGAACCGTCAGCACAGCGACAACCGAAGCCCTAGACCAAAAATTATTTCAACGAAACTCGAGCTGACCTTGAACTCCTTCAACTCGTCGGGGCTCTCCTCCTCGTACAACTGGGCGTTGGAGCCAGAGTCGTAGTCGAGGTCGACGCACATTGGGAAGCGCTAGGAGATTAAAGCCTCGCGAACAATTTTATTTCCCATACCTGGGTGGCAAGGCACTTGGCATATGGTGAGTCTGGGACTTCAGCTTTCGGTAGAGCGCCGGCCAAGTCGTTCATCGTCAACGGTTGTTTGTTCATGACCTTTTGCTGAAAAAGACGAAAGTTTTGTTAGTGTGCTTTCAACGCCGCTCCTACCTTGAACTCCTCGATGACCTTGAGCGCCTTCGCCCAAGCCGGATCGGTGGCGCACTCGTTGATCGGGCCGCAGACAAGGAGTTTGGTTTCCTTGGACTCCTGAAAATTCAGATGTATTGAATTATGCAAATTCAACTTACAACCGTCTTGTATCCAGTCTTGCACTCCAGCTCGTAGCCACCATCGTTGTTCTTGCAGGTGACGTTCTTGCCGAGGCCGTTGAGGTGGTTCTTGATCTCGTCGGTCTCGCATTCGTTGATGTCTGGAAGGAAAAAGTGTTTTAATAGTTCGTCACAAAGGTATACGTAAGGTCGCATAATCTAAAGAGACTTTATGAATATATACCTTTGCATGGTGCCTTCTCGTCAGCTTTGGCGTATCCTGGCAGGCAGGTGCAGGTGTAGGCAGGCTATAATTAAACATACTTTCATTTAGTGGCTTTCCTCGTGCAATTTTTTGTGTCACCCTTCCTTTAGAGCTTGCCATTGGTAAGTAAATAGATAGTAATAAGTAAGCTACCTCCCCTCACTTACCTTGTTCGGAATCATCTCGCACTTGCTGGTCTTGCGGTCGCAGATGTCCGGCTGTTTATCGCAGATGGGGAAGATATCGCAGTGGTAATCAAGTGGTCCCTTGCCGGTCTCGGTCTCTGAATAATTTTGGTTACATTCAAAATATATAAACTCGTTTTACTGTTATAGCCATCATCGCACAAGCACTCGAAGGTTCCGTCCTTGTTGACGCACTCTGAGTTGGCGAGGCATGGGTCTTGGAGGCATTCGTCGATGTCTGAACGGTTAGTTGCGCTAGGCACATCAGAGAGGTATTTCGACGCACTAATGGCACGAACTTACCTTTGCAGTGGAAAGCATCGATGTTAACGTATCCATCGCTGCACTGGCACGAGTAGGAGCCGATCGAGTCGATACATTTGAAGGGCTAAGCTTTGAGTTTAATTAGGTTCCACTAGGTGTTTGTAGCAGTTTTCCGTACTATAAGTAGCTGTGAAAAGTAGTTATGTACTTTCACGAATTCAAACTACCGTACCTGCTTGGTGACGGCATGAAGCGGGCACGGGTTTTGTGGCACACACTCGTTGATGTCTACAAATTTAAGATCCTATTTTTCCGGTTTAGCATACTTTCACAGCGATACTTGTTGCCAATAATTTTCTGGAAGCCGGCCTTGCACTTGCAGCTGTAGCTGACGTACTCGTCCTGAAAAACAGGTGAGGGGAAGGAATCAAAAATACCTGGCAGTTAGTCGACTCCCTGTCACACTTGTCGATCTTGTTGGCACAGTATTTGATGGCTAAAGGGCGGCAAGTAACTTTTCAGGTATGATACTCACGTGTGCAGGTCTTTCCATCACCCTCGTACTCCTCGGGGCACTTGCATTGGTAGCTGCCCTGGGTATTGGTGCACTGGCCTCCTGGGAAGCAGTCGTGCTGCCCGGTGGCGCACTCGTCGACGTCTAGAAGGCTAGGGTTAGGTCGAATCTCAAAGCAAAGAATCACTGCTGGACTGCCAACAAGACCAACTCGACCCATACCTTTGCACCAGGTTCCGTTTCCGGTGTATCCCTTGTTACAATCGCACTTGGCCACGCCGTTGGCTTCCGTGCAGTGCGCGAATTTGGAGCACGGGTTGTAGAGCTCGCAGATTTTGATCTGACGACATTTGTCCACAACTACCAAGCACTCCCTACCGGCAAGCACGGGCTCTCGATGGTTCCAACACCTTCGTATCCGGGCTTACAGTCACAACGCACGGACGATTGAACCACAGAGCAGACCCCGGTGTTCGGGTCGCACGGGTTGCGGGTGTCGCAGCTTAAAAGCATAAAGTGAAGGTAAGATGCTGTGTACCTGGCTTGCTCGCAGCGAACGCCATCTGGGGTCTGGACGGCCTTGGAGTTGTCGTTGCAGCTGCACGTGTACTTCTTGTAGGGTTCGACGGAGTCGGGGAGGCATTTGCCCTTCAAAGGTAGTATCTATGTACTGTCTCGATAACGATAACAGTGAGCAGCGATTTTGGCTATATAAGCACGTATTACTGAAAAATAAAAAATAGTAGACAATACAACGGAGATACGGATTTTCTGGGCTATTTTTCTGCGATTTGCATACACAATTTCGTAAATCCTAACTTTTAACTTGTTGAAACATGTATTTACGTTTCCTAAACGCTGATCCTGAAAGTTTCGAACAGAGTATCGTTTTTCGTATTTCTAGTTTTCGTAAAAAAATATTTTTCAAAAGGGGGCTTTTCAAAAAATTGTTTTCACGAAAAAAGGCATTTTCGAAAACCGTGTGTTTTTTTTGGCTCAAATAGATCGATAATTTGAAGGCCAAGGTGGGATAATTGGCGTTTGGAGCCACTATTAATGCTCGCCTCAAAGTTTCCTTACATTCCCACAAATCGTCGGCTGCTGCTCACAGATGCTGATCTGATGGCATTGGAAGTTCTTCATCACATAGCCCGGGTTGCACACACAAGCCGCGTACGTGCCCAAGGCATTCGGAGAACCGTCTTGAGTCTCATTTTGTCGTTGCGTCAAGCGGCACACCGAATTGAGCGGGCATTCTCCGAGGGCTTCACAGGTTCCGACCGGGATGCACGTCTTTTCTTGCAGATTCCACTCGTATCGGTTCATACATTTGCAGACGCACTTTCCGTTCTCCTCCTTGGCAAACCCGTATGGTCCACAATCGATTGGTGTCGAACAGTTCGCCGTAGGAGCGCATTTTAGCTTCCCGGCAACAGTCGATGAGGTAACGACATCGTTGGTGCAATTACAGTAGAATCCTCCGTACGTGTTGGTACACTGTTGGAACGGTCCGTCGCACGTGTTCGTGCCGTCCATGCACTCGTTGATGTCCTCGCACTTCTTGTTGTTGGTGTTCGGTACGTAGTGAAGCCCAGACTTGCAGGCACAGACAAAGCCGTCGCTCGTCTCCTTGCAGTCGGTGGTTTTCTTGTCGCAGTCGTCGAGTTCAGTGCCGCAGTAGGTGATGCGCTCGCAGGTCTGATTGTCAGTGGATCCTTTAGGATGTCCAAAGTTTTTCTCGCAGATGCAGATCCAGGACCCATCGGTGTCTTGGCAACGTCCGGTCGTCAGTCCGCACTTGTTCTTGTCGTAGCAGCCATTGATCGGGCACAAGCACTCGTTGATGTTGTCGCACTTGTTCGTGTCGGGTTCCCACTTGTAGCCGGCCGGACATTTGCAGTTGTAGCCGCCGATGGTGTTCTGGCAGACGGCTTGCTTGGGGCACACGTTGGCCGGGTCCTCCTTGCACTCGTCGATGTCTAAAGTTGGGTTTTAACGGTCTTCTGATGGATGGAAAAATTGGCACATGGCACATTAGGTATCAACTTTTACTTACCTTGACAAGTTCTCGTCGTCTCGTTGAAGCGGAGTCCGCTGGAGGTGCACTTGCAGGTGACGTAGTGTGTCTTGTTGTCAGCCTAAAAAATCGGTGCCTTGGGTATCGATAGGTATCACTTACGGTAGTCACACCCGGCCAGAGAGGTACGCATTTCGAATCGGTGGGGCAGTCCATGAAGCCGTAGCTCGGGTCGCAGAAGTCGGGAACTGAAATGAGGAATGTTAGAGGTAGTAGGTTGGAATCATCAGCTGAATTATAGCTTTTATTAGTTTTTCCGCCCTCGCAACGCAACGCGTCGCGGTCCCATTGCGGCGTGTCGCGTCCACTTCGAGCGTGACGCGCCCGCGGCGCTCTCCGACGGTATTTGGCGGTACCCTCACCTGTACACTCCGTCACTCCATCCCCAATCAGCGGCTTGTTGCACTGGCACGAGTAGCCGGGCGTCAAATCCGTACACGTCGCATTGACATGGCACGGCTTCTTCTCCTTGCACTCATCGATGTCTAAAATTAACGTTCATGCTTCAATTTACAATTTCTAGTTTTACTCTGGCACTCCGCTCCATTGAGTCGGAATCCGTCGTTGCAGGTGCAGTTGTAGATGGTGTCCTTGGCAACAGTTCGGAGACAGTGCGAATTCTTCGGACACGTCTCACACACGGTGGAGTTACTAAAAATAGAATTAAAGCCAGGATTTGCCACTGATAAGACAGTAGTTTAAGACCTACTGCGCACAGTCGAACTCTCCATTCTGAAGGTACCCATTCTCGCACTGGCATCGGAAACCGCCCTTGAGGTTGACGCATGTTGAGTGTTCCGGGCACGGGTTCTTCGGGTCTAAAGGTATCATTCCTTCAGATCCGCTGAAATTTGCATACTCTCGCACTCGTTCTCGTCCTCGCACGGTCCGTTGGCGGTCTTTCTGATGAAACCGCCCTCGCAGACACACTCAAAGCTGCCAATGGTGTTCTGGCAGAACTCGTGCTCGCGGCACGGCCACGTGTTGCACTCGTTGATGTCGCTGCATTGCTGAAATGTAAGGGGTGCTCGAATACGCTAGTTATGTCTTCTAGACACGCAACGCCTGTCGCTATGAAATTGCTGTACGGCGGAAACGTCACCTAATCGTACACGCCATATAATTCTGGGTGACAGGTAACGCGGGCCGCCACGCGCCCGAATCCACAACCAGATATGACTAACCTTGGTGATATGATCCCATTGGTATCCTGGGTTACAGATACATGAGCCAGTGTTCGGCTCGCAATTTCCGTTGGAGCCACAGTCAACCTTGTTCTCCTTGCAGTAGTCTATGCGCTCGCATTTGCCATTCTAAACGTCACGATTAGCTCGCTTGTTACACGTTAAAAGCGGTGTATCGAAACTGACGGCGCTGCGACGGTAGTGCTCCTTGCAGACACACTCGTAGCCTCCACAAAGGTCCGGCTTGTTCTTGCACTCTGTGTACTGCTCGTTGGCGCAGATCTGGGGGTTGGCGGCGCACTCGTCAATGTCTGAAAAGCTTCCCTAGATGTCACTGTCCCTTTAAAGTGCAGTGCTGTTGTTTAAAGGACAACATTTTCAAGCCGTTCAGCTACTCACCCTTGCATTGAGTCACCGCAAAGTTCTTGTCGAACACCGGCACGCAGCCAGATTTGCAGGAGCACCTAAAAATCGTCGTTTGTACCTTGAAACTGAAGACATCCATACTTGCAAGTTTTCCCAATAGCATCAACGACCTTGATGGCACCCTCAACCTTTCCGCAAACGTCCTTGTATTGCGGCAAGGCACAGTAGTCGATGGCTAGCAAAAAGATGTTCTTGGTTCCGAATTTTCCAATTTACGTGTGCACTTCTCGCCGGGAAGTCCACTTCCCTGGTAGGGCTCGTGGCATACGCAGTACATTTCGTTGTTTCCGACCTGAAGCAGGAATTTAAGGAAATTTTTTGAGCTTTTTACTCTCTCGCAGAACTTGTTGACGTCGTCGCTGCAATGGGCCTCTTCTTGGCAACCAGAATCGGCTAAAAATCAGCGAAAATATCGGATAAGGGAACCAAAACCGCCAATTCATGTATCATGAGTGCGGCTACGAGTCGGCGGGGTTCTTGAAAAACTTACGAATGCACAATCCGCTGACCTTGTCGTAGATCTGGCCTCGTTTCAGGCAAGTGCACTTGTAAGACCCTGGCAAATTCGTGCACTTGGTCGTCGGCGGGCAGAAGGTGTTGTTCTTGCACTCGTCGTAATCTAGCAGAACTAAATCTTTAACGTTCTACCATACCCGGGCACGTCTTCGTCTTCTCATCGTATTCAAATCCAATCGGGCACTCGCAGTGGGCCTCTCCGCCCCAGACTCGGCACTCCTGTTCGGGAGACGGACACACTTTGGTGTTCTTGCAGGGCGGGAGGGCTGGCTGCACGGATGGAAACTATTAAAGGGAGAGTGACAGTTAACTCACCAGGCATCCACAAACATCTACGGCTACACAAGCGCCGTTCTCGAACTTCTTGCCCTCGGGGCATTGGCAGACGCAGATGGGGACGCCCTTGGAGTCGGTGGTCTGCATCTTCGTGGCTTCGGTGGGGCATTTGACTGGAATTTGTATGGTTTGGAAGGGGAGCCAGCTGTTGCACTCCCTTTAGAGCTGTGCATTCTGCTTGGGTCTATGCTTCGCCCACTTTCTCTCTCTCTCTCTCTCTCTCTCTCTCTCTCTTTCTCTCTCTCGCTCTCGCTCTCGCGCTCTGTCTTGCTCTCTCGCCCTCTCTCTCTCATTCTCTCTCTATCGCTCTCTCTCGCTAGAAGCTTCAACCAAACTTACATGAAGCCTCATTACAGGGATTCGCAATGCATTTTTCGCGGACCAGAATTGCCGTCTTACTGCACACGCATCGGGCCTGTAATTTGTACAATTTAGGATTCCAATTTGCCTCCCCTTTTTTAATTCTGTTAATTCGATTTTCACACCTTTCCAGGTCCAATTGGCTGACATTCCTCAACAACAGGCGAGCACTTCGGCTTCCCATCGGCCAATTTGCAACCGTCAAGTGCTAAAACCAAAAATTCCAGAGTCTGCAGTAACCCTACGCAGGCACTCCTCCTTCATCGGGTTCATCTGGTACCCATCGTTACAGACACATGTTCTCTTGCTGTCCTTCCATTGGCATTGCGAGTCCTTCGGGCAGGAGTACTGTAGATGAACCGGATTTTAGGAAAGAATTCAATAGCACCTTGACGCAAAGGTCCTCCGGGATGCAGCTACAGTTGTTGGGATGGGCGGTGGCGCACTCGGGGTTCTTCTTGTAGTCCTTGGCGCAGTCGCAGCGGTAGCCGTCGGCGTTGGTCTTGTCGTTCTGGGCGGAAAGTTACGTAACGACGTGGATGACTTACCACGCAGAGGTTCTGGCTGCCGGTTGGGCAAGGTTGGAAGGTGCAGGGGTCGATGTCTGAAGAAAAAAATCGTGGTATTTTCAGTGTTTAGGCTTACAAATTAGTGGCTAGTTAGGCTTGCCTGAAATACTTACCAATACACGCCCCATTGATGTACTTCTGGTGCTCCTTGCATTGACAGGTCGTGATCCCGTTCGTGCTGTCATCAACGCACTTCATGTTCTTCGTCTTGCACGTGTCCTTGTCGGTGCCGCAGATTGGGATATCTACATTCGGTCTTTTACTCTTTTCCAGTGTTCCTTACATGTGCAATTTCCGAACTTCGGGTTGCGCTCGTATCCCTTCTGGCAGTCGCACTTGAAGAAGTCGTCGGTGAGGCAGCAGACCTCGAATCGGGTGCAATTGTGGCCGCCGCCCTCGCCTTTGCAGTAGTTGACGCCTGGTTAATGGATTTTTCCTCTTTGAGTGCACGAAGTCCTTGACGCCGTCAAGCCGTAACTACGCTCCACTACGCTACGCTGATGCCAAATAACCTACGGACGCAGACACCATTTTCCATGCGGTAGCCCTTGTCACATTCGCAGCTGAAAAAAAAACGAATTTTCATCTTAAGGCACACGCACTAATAGGATCCATCGGTGTTGTGGCACTTGGCATGTTGCGGGCAGGTGGCATTCTTGCACTCGTCGATGTCCATGCAAGTTTCGGCCTAAAACTCACTTTGAAAGGTATGGTATTAAAACGAGGCTCTAAGTATAGGTGTCTTTCTACTCTTTAAAATTGGTATACTATCTTTCTGCTTTAACTTCACGTCTAAAGCTCCTTCTTACCAAGCAGTTCTTCGCCCTTCCACAGCTCCTCGTTCTGTCAGTCGTCTTGAAATACCCAGGTTTGCACTCGCAGGAGAATCCTGGCGCCAAATCCTTGCAGACGCTGTTCTAAATCCAATTTTACAGTGGTTTCTAAAAAACCGATACCGGAACTTTGGTACAGTTATGCGTGCCCTTCTCGCACTCGTTGTCGTTGACGCACAGCGGGTTTTGGGCGCGGGTTTGGGCCTCGGAGTTGGCCTGGACAACAGATGTTTGAAAGCGTAAAGAGGAGGATGCTTACATTACTGAATCCCCATTCGCAGTCGCATCCGTAGGTTCCGTTGTAGTTGACGCATCTCGAATGGTCGGGGCAGGTGACGCCGAAGACTTCCTCGGTACACTCGTCGATATCTGGGGATGGTGGATATTAGCTCGTGACGTCGCTCTCTCACTCTCGCTCTCTCGCTGTCACTCTCTCTCACTCGCTCTCTCTCTCGCTTTCTCTTTCGCTTACACATTGATCAAGTAACACTTACCAATGCAAGCAACCAAATCCCTCGAATACTTGAACCCAAGCGGACACTCGCATCGCTTAAAGGGATGCGTATCCAGTGGAGTACATTTCATAGCCGGGGTAGGACATCCCTGGCGGTCGCAAAGATTGATTACTAAAAAAACCCGATTACAGCGTTAGAGCAGGGTATTACATTGGCATCCAGGTCTCTCCTTCATCGTCTCGTTTGTGTACGGTCCCGGGAACGTGATCCATTCATAGTTCTCGTCGCAGACACATTCTCCATCGACGCACTTTCCGTTGTCACCGCACGGGTAGTCCTTGTCGCAGTGTTTCTGGCCTAGAGAAATTTATTTCGTCTTTCTCTCTCACTTTTTCTCTCTCTCTTTCACTCTCGCGATCTCCCTATCTCTCTCCAACACTCACCAAGGCACACCAGCTCCGTAGGTTGGAACGACCCGTAGGGGCAGATACACTTGTAGTACGGTGGCTTGTCGGTGTCCACGCAGCTTCCACAGGTGCACTTGTCATCGGAGCAGACGCTGTCTCCTAGAAGACGAGTCAAAGCCTGAGATTCTGTAACTTACGAACGCAAACCGGATGGATCGGGTCGAAGTGGGTCGTGGATTCCTTGAAGCCCTTCTCGCACTGAAAACGTCGGTATGAGAGAGAGAGAGAGAGAGAGAGAGAGAGAGAGAGAGCGAAATCGACAGCGAGAGCGAGATAGAGCGTGAGAGACTGAGAGAGAAAAGAGAGGGAGGGAGAAAGACCATAGAGCCATTTAGCCCGCACCCACCTTGCAGTAATACCCTCCTTGCAAATCGACGCATTCCGAGTTGGCGTTGCACTTGGCGACTCCGTTGGCGCACTCATCAATGTCTAAATCGTTAAGAAATAAATTGTTTAGTCTTATACATTATTAAGCGGTGAAAGGCAGTATGAGTCCGAACTACGCTCCAAAACCCACTCTTGCAGGCAAAACCATCAGTCGAATTGGCGGGTCTCTCGTATCCCTTCTTGCATTTGCACTGGTATCCTCCCTTGATATTTCCACAAGTGGTCGTCGCCTTGTCGCAGTTGTCGGAGCCGTCGGCGCACTCGTCAACGTCTAAAACAATTTAGTATCAAGAACAAGTCTTTTTTGAAGATACCTTCACAGTCCTCTCCAACAGCCTTGTAGAACGGTCGTTTGCACTCGCACTCCCAGCTTCCGGGGGTGTTTCTGAAGCGCAGAAAAAATTAGATGAACTTCGACCCTGACACCTACCGGCAAGTACTGGTCTCCTCATTGCAAGCCGATTTCTTGTAGGTGACCGGGAACTCCTTGCACTCGTCGACATCTAAAATTTGCAGATTTAAGGATGAGTAGCAAAACGTATCATTTTAGAACGTTACGTACCAACGCATTTTCCGCTTCCCTTCGGCAGCAGCTCTCCTTCTGACTTGAACCCTTTGGCGCACTTGCACTCGAAGGTACCGTCCTAAACAAGAAGCGATTACCGGTCGGAGACCGAGATTAAGGGTTCAGAATTCGCACCTTGTTGAAGCACTGTGAGTTGGCGGGGCATGGGCTTGCCTTGCACTCGTCGACGTCGAGGCACACCATCATGCCAGCGATCTACAGAAGCTAATTGGCTTTACGTTTTTGTACTAACCATAGTGTAACCCTTGTCGCAGACGCATTGGTAGCTTCCGGGCGAGTCGACACACTTCATATGCTGGCCGGCGCACGGTGGGGTCTTGTTTTCAGTGCATTCATCAATATCTGAAGGGTTTGTATATCATGACAAATCACAAGAAGTTCTTGTCGTAGTATTCGCCTAAAAAATTTAGCTCACTCTTGCACGAATCCCGAGTTCCGTCTCCCTTGTATCCATTTTGGCACTTGCACTCGAACGTCTTGCCCCCGTCGAGGTGGGGCACCTTGTCGACACACTTTCCACGGATGGGGTCGCAGTTGTTCATGCTCTCGTACTGGCACTCGTTGATGTCTAATTGTCAAAAATATCCTTTTTAAATTTACAGACCTTATTTATTTGGATTAATGAAAGAATATGGTACAAGTAACTTTAATTTAATCAATCTGAGAAGCGGTAAAAATTTGTTGAAAATCTCTTCATTTCTAATCTGCAAAATTAAGGCGCTCTTTGCCTCCAGAGTCTTCATTTTTCAGCATTCCATCAAAAACATCAAAAAGGACTTTAATTGATCTGATAAAATCATGAATTAAAACCGGAAAATTATTCGGGATCATAAATGTATAAATTCAGCGTTAGTTCCACTTACTAACACATCCCGGCTTCCCGTCCTTGCGCATCTCATACCCGTCCTTGCAATAGCACGTCTTAAAGTTGGGGTCCGGCTGGCCCAACAGGTCGAGAACGGGCTTGCACACTTGAGTCGCCGGATCGCATATCGAGCAGTTGTTCACCTGGGACGAGTTGACACCTAGGGGGACAAACAGAGAGTAGGGGATTTCGTCAGGGGGCATACTGTAGCACGGGGCAAGTCTGTTGGATTCTTCGGCGAGTTGGCGGACAAATCCTTTTTCGCATTGGCAGAAGTAGTTCTTGCCATCTGGAGACAGGCAGTCAGCGTGGGCGACGAGGGCGCATGGAGCTTCACGGTTGCAGACGTTTGTGGCTGGAGTGTCAGGTTATATAGTGGCTTACTGTAATAAAATAGGCGTGTGATTTTCCGACGCACTATGTTCCTCTTTTTCCTCGTTTTCACTCGTTCGCTCGCTCTCTCTCTCACTCTCTCTCTTGCTCACTCTCGCTCCCTCGGCTTACCAGAGCACTTCTTTCCATCTCCTTCATATCCGGGCTGGCACTCGCATCGGTATCCGCTTCCCAGCGGCACCAACTCGATGCATTTTCCCTTCGGAGCCGGGGCGCAGTCGGCGTTATTGACGCACCATTCCTTGGGCTTGCACTTTTGGCCGTCGACGTAGACGTGGTCCTAGAAAAATCACGATCTACCACCTGTCCGTCCCTCTCTCGCTCTCGCTGCTTTCTCCCTTGCTCTCCTTCTTTCTCTCTCACTATCTCTCTTACCTTCTTGCATTGGCACTGGTACCGTCCAGCCTCAAGCACACAGTTCGTCGTGGCATTGTCACACTTGGCACAGTGTACAGCCGGGTCCACTTGAAGTACAGATTTTCTTAAGCACTCCCTTCAGAGCTTACATTCACAATCCACTTGCGGCTTGACAACCCATGGCTTCGGGGCATCTCTGAAACCGGCGACGCAAGTGCAGTTGTAGCTGCCCTCGGTGTTGGTACAAGTCGCATATCTGTGGCAGGGTCGCAGGACGCACTCGTCGATGTCGTGGCATTTTCTCAAAGTTGCTCAGTTGTCTCATTAAGGTGTTGCCCATACCCATCAGCCCCCTTTTGGTATCCATCCTTGCAGTTGCAAATGTAGCTGCCCTCCGTGTTGCGACATTCCGCCCCGGGGCCGCAGATACCCTCGACCTTGCACTCGTTCTCATCTAAAGCGAGAGCGTTGGTGGAATATTACAAACGAAGGATACCTCGACAAGGGTGGCATTTAGTGCCGGTGCTGTTCATTCCGCGCCATCCCTTCTTGCACACGCAAGAGTACTTGAAGTGGAAGGCGTTGGAGAGGACCTCCTGGTTGACGCACTGGGCGTTGCGGTCGCACTCGTGATCTCGAGCGCATTCGTCGACATCTTAAGGGTGACGTGAGGTTGTTCTTATGACTAATGACGTGGTTGGCTCGTTTTGTCCATTTGTCATTATGTCTGGGCAGCGGCAACGTTTCTAAATCCCTTACCTCGACAAGATTTTCCTGGCTGAACTCCAGGTTGGCTGGACACATCCTGAAGCCGAAATTTTATTTAGGTACAGTATCCCTACCTCAAAACCGAGTTGTGGGTTGCATTTTGAGCAAACGAAGGACGTCTCGCCAAGCGGGATACATTTGGAAGTGATGTGACAGTCGTACTGGCAAGACTCGCAGGGGGGTTGGATCGCTAAAGGTAGGTTAACACTGGGCTATTAAAGTACATATATAGCTTCGCAAAAATACTTACGAACACAAGCTGTCCCTCCGTTTCCGCTGACAAATTGGAAGCCCTCGGCGCATCCGCAGTAGAGAGTGCCGTTGACCTAAAAAGCATGGTTTTCCAGGTGTAATTCGGTGTCCTACGTAGCGTCTACACATGCGGTCTCCAGGGCAGTTGACCTTGGTCTTGTCCTTCTTTGTGCATTCGGAATCTAAAACAAAATTATTGTAACACATTTCCATACAGACAATCTTCAAAATACAACTAAAAAAAGTGCGTAAAGGAGTCACAAAAATTAATTAACTCACAGCAATTAAACCCGGTTCCCTCGGACATGCCGTCGCAGTTGCAGAAGCCCTTGGTGAACATCTTCTGGGCGATAAGTGGGGACTAAAATTACCGTAATTGCGGTGAGCTGCAACGCGACAATACCTTGGCGACGCCACCGTTCTTCACGTCGCACAGCTCACTCTCCGGCACGCCTAGCCATTTGGCCCAACAACGATCGGAGGTGGGGAAGATGGCCTGAAGTTTGATAGAATATTATAGAAACGTCGTTTTTCAAGTCCTATTAGTGCATTAAAGCTGAATTTTGAGCGAATTTTTTGTCACGAACTATTTTTCCTGCTATCGTCACCCCTTTAAAACAAGTATTATCGCGTTTTTGGTGCATATTTTTAAGTTTTTTCGCTGACTTCCTTACCCTAGCTCCGCACACATTATCCGCATCCGTTTCCGGGTACTCTCCCTGCCAATGATCATTGCCACCATTCTCCGGATCGCCAGGGTACAGATCAGGGTTCTCGTCTTTTGGATCGGCTAAAAAATTTGATTTTTTTTTCTTGATTTTTTGGATCACCACTAACGACGCAAGCCTTCTTCGCTTCGTCCCACTTGAAGCCACCATTGCAACGCCCGTCTGAAATCAAATTAAAAGTTTTGCGTCCGTTTTTAAGGCTGAATTGGACGGACATATCGACAAGGACCGGACGATTTTTGTTACAAAATCTACAGGACAACAATTTTTTGTCGGGCGACGTCAGCTGGCAGCTCATCATCTTCGAGAAGGTCACCCCGATTACGGGGTTTTCCCTAAATCGTTTTTCATTTAGTTTTTCGCTTGCACCCTTGGAAAGATCTTGGCTGCTCTCTAAATTTCGGGTTGGCAATGTTTATCAAACCGATAATGCCAATTTTTGAGCAGCGAATTTTTCGTTAGAGGTAATGTGGTAGTTGAAGGTAGACTACACCCTTTTGTCCTTTCCATATTTCAACCAGCCAAGACCCTTCGTTGCGGATTTGGAAGTCATAAATACCATAATACCAAAAAACAGCATGCAGGGCTCAATCATAGAAAATTGGAGGTGGGCACCATATAGTTTTGAAAACTTTGGATTGCTAGTTCTTAAAGTCACCGATTGAAATATTAACAGTACTAATTACAGTATTGAAAAGGGACCTACAGGGAGTCGTTTTTTTTGAAGAAGTTGTTTTTGAGGAGTTTGAAGAGTTTGAGTTGAGGGACTCTGAGAGATCACGCCCAGCCAGGCAAAAAAATGCATAATGTTTAAAATGAGTTTTCATAGCGTTCCTATGGATTTGGGCAAAAATAAATATCGGGATCGTGATCAGCGCGAGAAACTGCATCTGATAGGCTATATAGCTAGCCGAAGTCGAACTTCGAGCCGGGGAGGTTTCCTTGTGAGCCTAAATTCTCAGGAAAATCTCTTAGGCTTCTAAAAACTTTGTACGATTAAGATTTTGGAGGACTTTTAGTCCGAACAGGGCAATTTCACGTGTTTTACTGCCGGGCTTTGCAAACGGTAAACTTTGATAAGCTTCTTCTAAGAAACGCTTACCGTTTGTCAGTTTTGAAAGATGAAATTCGTTCGGAATTTCAAGCTCTATCGAATGCGTTAATTGAACTTGTAAAACCCTAAAAGTGGCTTCAAACGGCTCCTTGTGAGGTAGCCCCTCAATACCTTGAAAATCACCAAAAGTCCAGAGCGGCGCCAAGCTCCAGGAATACAGAACAGCCGACTTTGAACTTTTCATTCCCAGCCCACCTCTTATATTCACCATTTTATGATCTCCAGAAAACGATTCTCTAATAGCCGCCCGGATCGTAACTTCACATTTTGACTCCCACGCTTTTCGTCTGCCCGTCGCCGGAAATCGGCATTTTATTAGTATTTCGTGGTGCGTTTGCGGCGGCTGTGTGTGGGGGGGTACGGTAATTTTATTGCATTTCGGCACACCGGGACCGAAAATGGGGCGCATAATAGTTTGGGGGGAGAGGGGGAAAGGATGTGGACCCGTTTAATGACAATGTTAAAGGGACCAGGAATTTAGGAAAGTTCGGGGCTGTAAAACTGGAGGTAATGATGCCTAGGTTTGGAAAATGGTGAAAAATATCACATTCAACGTAAAATCTTTCCAATAGCGTTTTTTTAAATAAAGATATGTTTTTCAAGTCATAGAATTTAGAGCCTCATTTTTTGCTGAAATCTCCGGCTGTTTCGTCGTCCCCACGGCTTGTCACGATGGAGTATCCGCACCAGACCGTCAATTGGCGACACGGAAATCAACTAGAAAAATTATATAAACAATTTAATTTAATTCTGGGTCTCGACTACGGGCATCAAAACCCCAGGCTGCTGGAAAACACCGGAAATTACATAAATTGTGGGGTATCGCGATTCCAGACGACGATTAATGAATTTGGTGGATCTCTGGGAAGAGTAAGTACCCGGCTGCTTGGATCATCAAACCACAACCAAAATGCGCTTTGGTAGTAGATACAGAGTGTTGGTACTAGACTCGCGTCAGGCATTTGAAAACCAGCCCAGAGAATTTTGTTTAAGAACCTCTTCCGCTCTAATCGGCTCACCTTATTCTTGCGGACTTTATGATGTGGCCGAGCGCTGTGTTGGACATGACTGTTGTAGTAAAACTGGGGGTATTCGCCTTCTGAAAATTAAAATACCAGTTCGTGCTTGGCACCCACGCCAAATTACGGCGTCTAGACTAAAGCCTACAACTAAGTAACGTAATTCACTACGAGCTTTAATCGGGTTTTACCACGTACTGTTCTTTCACTCTCTCTCACTCTCTTTCTCTCTCTCCCTCTCTCTCGCTCTCTCTCGCTGTATATTTACACTATCCCTTACCATTCAACACGTTCTGCCCGTCGCCTTGCAACTCCACCAGTCGAATAATTTCCCGCGACGCCGCCTGAAAGCATGAAAATAATTTTGGGTCCTGAAAAACGGTCCCCGGGGGCTAAGATTTTAGAAGCAAAAAAACTAGCTGAAAACCTAAATTCAACCTCATAATTCGCTTACCAAGGGCAGCAACGTAAGCAATAGAAAATAGCGACAGAATGTCTGATACCCGGGGGACATCACAGAATCTGAAAATGGGGCATTAGCGGTTTGGTAATATATAGAGGTTTGGAAGAGCGAGATAGAGCGATATAGAGAGTGAGAGCGAGGGTGAGAGAGATAGCGAAGAACTAGAGGAATGAATCCATAATCGCTGGCATCACCACGAATGGGATGATGAGAAAATAGGATCCAACAGATACAGAAAGAGCGAGAGAGCGAGAGAGCGAGAGAGCGAGTGAGCGAGAGAGAGAGAGAGAGAGAGAGAGAGAGAGAGAGAGCAAGCATGAGAGAGCGAACAGTAAATCCAGAACCTCAATTTCGCTCATTTCTGGAATACAGAACCTTGAGGTAAGTGATCAGCCACCAATGCCTCAGATTTCGACCTTGTGTAAGCTCATTTCAAAACTCCCACCGCCAACCAATTCTCAAAGCCTAATGACACGTCCAGTGTAAAACACGCCCTATGTTCCAATGAATTTTCGGCACTGGTACACCGACTACAAAAAACAACACTTGCTCCGCTCGCGAAAATAAGCCCGGCGCATAAGCTTTTATAAATCGGTGCAGGTGGTGAGAATGTTCAAACCCCGCCCACTCTCCAGCCATATTTACAATTTTTGAACGCACGGAAGGTGCACGTAATTTTTTCCTCCAATGTGCGCCAAACAAGTCGTAAATTATGTGGTGGTCCGCTGGGAGGCGGAAAAGGGCGCGCAGTGTTGTGGAGGGGTCGGTCTGGATTTGTGGATTTGAATAGTTCGTGTCTATGCGGGCTGTTCGAAGGCATAAAAGTGCTGTCTTAACTTCAAAATCCATCATAATAACAAAAGATGTCTTTGTGTTGGTTTTTCAAATTTTACGAAAGGAGTATTTGAACTGCGCTAAATCGTTGTAATTGCTCGAAATTACGAATGTATCCCTTCCTTTAATACAACCGATCCAAAAAAATATGACCCCGGGGTTATATTAGAGGAAATACGGCATTTTTGGTCGCCGCTCACAAGGTTTTATAGTGATATTTTGATGTTTGAAAAGGTTGGAAAAACTTCGAAAAATTCGAAAACTTTGCAGACGAATCAAGTTTCCAAACCCTGGTACAGGGACCAAAGCGCCCACGCCCTCCAACAACTCGCGTTTTCAGCAAATTTTTTAACCACCCGTAAACAATCGCCAGCAATTTGGGCAGCTCAATGCTGCCCCGGCCAGACGGGGCCACCTTGAGCAAATGTAAAAACGCTGGGTTTTTATAGAAATTTTTAGGGGGTTATTAGGCAAACCGTCGGGGGTGTTGCCACCCCCAAAATTGCCGGGCCGTTGAGAAAATGGGGGGCGGGGGAAGGCTGAATTTCGGGTCTCGGCGGGGTTACAGTACCCCCAATTTTTTGCCAGTCACAGCCCTGATTCGAGGGTGCATAAGGAGATGTAATTGGTAAAACCGGCTTCTACGATAATGGAAATGCTTGATTTGGTTTGGCTCAAAGGGTTTTTATTTTTTCGGCTCCAGTCCGCCCGCGGCCGATCGGCCGCGTGAGGCCGACACATCCGATTTCCACATAAAACACAGTGTTAGTTAGGCAAGATTATGCGTTCTCTTTGGTGCTGCTTGATGCTTTTGCCGATTCCCTCCAAGTCAATTAGGTTTGGGGTGATCAGTCAAGAAGATCAAGGGAATTTTCGAGATGAAATGCTCACCATATTACTAATGGGACGACAAGTAGATGACCAGCACCTTCGAACAATTATCACCGTTCGTTCGAACAGTTATCCGAATTTGACGCTACGCTACAGTAAGTACTACAGGGTGTCCCGAAAACCCCCCCCCCCCTAGCCGGCCGCAGACCTATCCGATTTTTACGATTTAGGTATCTATCGAAAGCTCTTGGAAAGGCGAGTCCAGCACGTCTTGCCGATTTCCGAAATGTCGCAATTTTTCGCTCGATTTTTGGCCTGTTTCAGGCAAAAAGGACTCGCTTTTTTTTGTCCAAAACGCAGTTTAACCGGTTTAAGCGCTATCCAAGCTGTGTGTCGCAAACGGCTTTCAAAGAGCTCTCGTTGGGCTGCCAGAAAAGGCATAAAAAGTCTTAAATTGCGATTTTTGTAAAAAACGCCTTGGGCAGAAAAACAGCAGAAAATCCGCGCGTTTCGCAAAAAACATTAGTAAATGATAAAAAAATGTCAAAATTTTAAGCATCGGAGAGACGTGCTGGACTCGCCTTTCCGAGAGCTTTCGATAGATACCTAAATCGTAAAAATCGAGCAGGACTGCGGCCGGCTAGGGGGGGGGTTTGGGATACCCTGTATATATCTGTGAACTTGAGTATCCTAGACAGTCAAGGATTTCATTGGAAGGAGTGCGAAAAGTTCCATTTGATTCCCATGTGGCAGCCGCTCTACCGCCTTGGACAGGCTGCTTAGGCCCTTGTAGTAAGGCGTCACGAAATCGTTCGTAGACCTCAACAACCTTCAAGGAATGCTAACAAAAAACCTCCAAATGAATAGCGAGCGGATTGGCTTCTAAAGGCGAAAACTGGTGGTCGAGGTTGGTGGTCATCTATTTGTGGAGTCACGAGGTACTGCTGAAAATTGCAATCGCAAGTTTTGTCATAGGGCAGCTACCATAAGCCTCTTTTTGTTCAAGGCAAAAGAAACAAGGCTTCAAGATTGTGTAACCA